ATGGACGGGCGTAGCGAAGTGGCGTTGGCACACCTGTTCATCAATGCGATGGTCATTACCTTGGCGGAGGAGGAAGGTAGCGATTCCGCGGCTGCTGGCACCCCCACTCGTGGCCCTGACGAGGCGGAGAGATCTGCCGTAGCGACTACTACCGCCACAGAAGCACTCGTCGGACCCAGGGAGGACAGAGGACGCCGAAATTCGACTGCCACGGAGTATACTGCGGTTGTTGGCCTTTCCCCGGAAACAGCTACTGACGACTTTCGGACGACGATTGAGCCCGCCGTGAACGTGGTTGCAATGACGATTCGCGAGTGGTACAGTACCATCGTGGAACCCGCCCGCACCGTGAACACACCACCGGTTATCACGTGACCAAGTCGGTCCCCGAAGCGCTCAAGAAGCATATCGAGGAAGAAGGCAACTTCACGCCGGAATACTCGGGGATCTTTCCGAAGGTATCTCTGGCTCAGCTCCGTTCCGTGCTCCACGACCTCCGTTTGGCCTTCGATGGTTATTATCAGCCGTGGTCACAACGTCGTCTCGGCGCACCTAGCCCTGTTCCGTACAACGATTCCGATGTGATACGTATCCAATCGTATCAGGGTGCAGTTTCAGTTCCGGTACATCGCATGAGAACCGTCATTGATCTCTCGACTCGACGCGTGTGTCGACCTGACTGTCAAGAAATGGACTGGACCAATCGCTTCTGTTGTCGGTGCGTTTTCTCTTGTGCGGTGCTCGATTGAGGAGGCATGCAGGGTGACTTCGTTGGGTAACGATCTGTACCTCATCACGCATAGTTACTCCGGGAGCTTTCGATTGAGTGGCTCTGGTCACGTGGTGTCCTTGGACACTCGCTTCGATGGATCATGGGCCGAGTTGATGGCATCGGACCCGATCACACTACTCAAGAACATCGCCAACGCCGACATCCTGACCTCCATGCTTGAATCACCGGAGATCTTTAACTCTGTGTGCCGCTTCTTCCGCTCTTCTGTTGATGTGGACCTACGAGCCCGCGTCGCGTCTGCTGCTGTGTCCGCCCTTCGCCGTGTCCTGACTCCCGCACAGGGTTCCCGACCGTCAGAGATTCTCGTACAAGCCACTCCGTTCTACTGGACGAGCCCTTACCCAGTGAGACACGTCGCGCTGGAGGCCATGCTCCAATACGATCCGGACACGGAGTGCCGCTTCCACCTCGTGGATTCATTGACAAGAGTGGGATTCGAACCCTCGCCCTTTCGGACCGCGGCCTGAACACGGCG